GCTTTGCTGCCTTAGAAAAGCTTCTGCAGACTGCACGTGTGTCCACAGTAGGCCGGACAGACTTCATGGCGGCGTGCATAAGGTGGCTCTGTGACTGGGATGCCTGATGCTGGTGTAGTTGGCAGCAGGGGTGGAGGATGGGGGCATGTAAGACCGTCAACTGTCAAAACTGGGTTGGTGAGAACCCTGAACCTTAGACAGCAACAATCCCTCTTAAAGCTTATAACCCTACACCCCCCAAAACCCTGTCCTTACACACCCCAAAACAACTCCAAAGCACAGCCTGAACCCAAACTATTCAGCATTAAGCCTTAAGCTCTCACCCACTAACATTTTTTTCTAGGGTGAGCATGCTTCGTGGGAGTTCAACCTACTGGAGGTTAGTAGGGATCATGAGGGTGTATATATATATTATAAGGCAGTATTCCCTACCAAATATATTTTCCCTACTAAACCCCAGTGAGTCAAGTGGAGGAGGCTTGCTTTCTTTCTGTGCAAGCGCCCCGGGAAGTGCTTGTGGGCGGATAGTTGCGGCTGGAGGCTGCTGCATCTGCGTCCGTCTCCGGTTCCTTTTTACCTTACAGGAACAGAAAATGGTAGTACTGGTAAAGCTGATATGTACAATAGTAATGACAAACTGAACGTAACAGTACGAATAACAATAATGACAGTGATCATAAGAACAAATTAACAATAAAGATACCAATAGTAATAACAACAATAAACATACTATTGGATGCTCCCAGGCAAGCGCTCTGCCCGGGCTCGCAGATAGTGTGAGACTGGCGCCCGCACTTGAACCAGACCAGCGTCATTCGGGTACCACGTCAGGTAGTGTAGGGCTGTGTTGCCAGCAGCACTGTCAAGCGACAGGGTGCTAAGTTTGCCCCCAGAAAAAGGTAAGGTAATAATAACAATAATAGTACTAACAGTACTAACAGTAATCAAGAAAATAGTAATAACAATAAAACGAAAATAGCAAAATCGTTCCATCTGAGAGCTTTCCACAAGTTTGGAGGTCCCCGCTGTTTTGGGGCATTGCCTATACCATGCTCAGTTCATGACTTCGGGGCACATTTATAGGGACTGTGTTTTTTGAAATGCCACCTATGGGCATTTCGCAACAGCATCCCTATAGAATTCTTAATCATGGTCCTTCTTAGTCCCCTTTTTCATCCATATATATCGGGGGGG